GGGCTACTTATTGTCATCTCCCAAATTCCATGAGCAAAGAGACGGAAGAACTGCCCTTTGCCCTCAAGTGCTGTTATCTGCATTCTCGGGTCAACTCCGTCAGAAGCTCATTCGTCTGACTGAGCTTCATTCATCACACCCTTAATGCTCCACTTTCAACCCAGAGAACCCAAAATGTGCAAGAGATCATCCTCCCACATTTCCTCAGTCATGGGAGAAGAAATGCTGTGAGAAAGTCACCAGTCTTCATACCAGGACAGATCTCAGCAGAGAAGCCAGACTCTGCCTTTTCTGGAAGACAACAGGTCTGGATTTTTGCTGGAGCCCCACACTGGTGAGGGATGGTTGTGTGTCAGAGGGAAGCTAAGAGATTGTTCCCTGGGAAATTAAGCCCAGCACAATGTAGCAAACTAACCTTGAGTACGGAGAACAAGCTTTTGTCCAAACAGAAGTTACCCAACGTAGTAGGAGCCTCAAGAGTTCAGTTACTATTGAGACGCCAGTGCCCTCCTCGCCCATGTCAGAATGAGAGCACCACGAGACGATGGAAGTTGAATGCACGGCCACCTCCTGGCAGTGGTTTTCTTGTCACAGCCCATGTACAAAATTAATACACCTGGGTTTATAGTCGTCTGAACGCAATGGAGAGATTGTCTTGCTCCGCTAACTTTTACTAAACTGTCAAACACAGTGGCAAATGCATATGGCACAGCCCTGTGAGAACAGAAGCAGTGAATACAGCCAGCGAAGCCATGTTCTAAGAAAGACTGGCAATCTCAGTCTACACGCTCTACTCCTCTCTGCATCAGATGGCACTTCTTTATTAAATATTCGGTTAGAAAAACAATAACCTAAAACAAAAAGCATTGACTGTAGGTTGGCAGGTCTAAGGATGAACGACCAGAAAGCCTGACATTTTCTAAACACCTGTGTTGGGTGTGATGCTCGAGGCCAGAGATCCAGAGGCCCCGCAGAGAAGCCCACTACCTGAAGAGATCAGCATCTAAACCACACAGGCACAGGCTCTAATATGAGTTTTGTCCAGTGGGGCCCAGAAGCTCCCTCCCCAACAGGTGCACCTGACCCAGCCGGCTTCTTGGAGGAGACACCTGAATGACATCATTAGTGATCAGCCAAACTTAGCCCGTTGAGAAGGGAGGGTAAAGGCCTTCCAGGGAGTAGGAACAGCATGTGCAAAGCCATAGGGTTGAGACTGAGCCTGGCATTTTCAGAAGACTGACAGTAATTATGCATGACTAGAACATGGTTCAGCGGGGCAGGAGAGGGCAGCCTGAATCAAAGGTTCTTCCCTCTATGCCAGGCAGAGATGCTAATCAGCCTAAGGTGACAGCCAAAGATTGAGGCTATAACAAGTGCACCATGCATTTCAGAAGGTGACAGACTCCAGTGCAAGATCAAGAACAACAGGCAAGCGGGGGCTGGGAAGAATGACTCGCTGATGAGGCTCCTGACTGGGCCAGCAAGCCTGGCATTACCTGCTGGGCTCGTCTCACTACAGCTGTCAGGGGCAGGAGGAGCGAGGGGCTGTGAGAGAAGAGAAGCGCAGAGCCCTGCAGGGCTGCGACCAGTGAGCTGCCGGGGCTGGGCCAGAGGGAAGGGGATTCTGAGTGGCAAAGTTGGGAAGGGGATGGCAGGAGAAGAATGGAACTTCGGCGGAGTAGGAGAGTGGGGCAGGGCTGGAAAGCCAGACTGAGGGCCTGTGTAGGGGGAGGGGAGACAAGTTGGCAGCGATCATGTGACACAGATTGAGAGCTTCACGAATACTTGGTGATGAAGAGAGACACTAGCTACCTCAGCACAAAGCCCGACACGCAAAGGCATGAGAATTTCTCAAGTCAGAATGGCGCGCGAGTGAGTGAGTGTGAGTGTGTGTGTGTGTGTGTGGAGGGGGAGAGAGAGAGAGGAAGACAAAGAAGAAGACATGGAGCACAAGTCCATGGTTTCATTATGTTAACATCTCATGACTGTCTCAAAATTCCTCCTCAGCTGACCAAAAGGCAATTATTATTGTGCTTTAAAGTCCTTGTACCTAAAATTTCCTTTCCTGATAAACTCACTTAGCATGGAGGTTCTGGAAAAGTCTGCCTACCACCTTCATCCTTATGGTCACCTGGGAGGGGAAGCCAAAACACTGAAACTGACCCTCAGGGCACCTCTTCAAAGATATTATTAGATCATCAGAATTAGATTTGACTCTCTCATCAGCCAGACTTCTCATCTGCTACAAATCGAACTACACACGTTGCAGGAAAGCTCCTTCTGTCCGTGCTCCTTGAGCTCATTCATTTATTCAGAGGCAAGGCTTCTCACACAGGGCACCTTGGCCCTGTCTCGGGGACAGACATGCCGCCTCCACGTGACTTACCACACACTTCCTCTCAGATCTGACAGAGGGGAAGACTCAGTTGTGACAACCAGCAAACGCCCTTCCTGCCCCCCACCGCATAGCCCCTCAGAGCGGTTTCCTGGGTGGGGCTGGGGAACACAGCATGCAAACTGCCTGCCATGGCGACACCAATGCTGGCTCTTGGCTATTGCTTCTCTCCACATCTCACTTGTAAGCATCTTGGAAAGAGTCTTCTGTGGGTTAAGTAGTACATAGGCACAGCTTTTGGTCACCACTATAGTGACAGCACAGCGTGCCCCTTCCTCAGCCCTTCCAAGAGAGGGAACCAAGCATGGGCTGTCGCCCCCCGCAGACTGGTGGTCAGTGAAGACCACAGCCGCTGTGTCAGCACAGCAAGAAATTCATGGACAAAGGGACTGCCAGTCCCCAAGGAACTTCTGGCTTGGGCAGGGAGATGCATTCATTCCTTCATTCAGTAAATGTTCACCGAGCACCTGCTATGCCGCAGACACTGACCAAGGGGCTTGGCATAAAGTACCAAACAAAACAGAAAGAAGTCCTGTGCCTCATGGCGCTAATATTCCAGCGATAAGTGAGGAGACGCCCTCACACATAATTAATAAAAGGACCCAACCAATGACGTAAGGTAAGAACCAAGTGATGCTGCATTTATAAGGAAGACAGAGGAAACATTTGTTGCAGGAATAAGGGAGGCTTGATGAGGAAATGGGAGCATCAACCTTTGTTAAAACACAAACATGCCATTATAGGCTCGAGAACATGCTCTCCAGAGATGGTCCCGGGACATTTAGACACTTTAAAAACGGTGATCACGTTATGTTTTATCTCATGTTTAATGACCATGCCCCTGCCGTACCCAAGGAGTGGCAGACGGGGAAGCTTGGCTGTGGGAGGCAGACATTGGCGGCTCTAGGGTGGCAGAGCAGGTGGGGTTCAAAGGGCATGTTAAGATCCTCCTAACAGTCAGGTTTATAATCAACTCAGGTAATCCTCGCCCTCCCAGCCCAGCAACACACACACCCACTTCAGACAGCTTTTCAGCACTTTCTCCCCTGGGTGGCTCCTAATTGTCATTTACCATGATTCACGGGCGCTGACGCCTTTGCTGGGAGCCAGCTGCAGGGTGCTCTTTGCCTGGCCTGGCCTGGCCCTCACTGTCCACGGCACTCTGGGCTCCCCGCTGCCCTGCAGCCCCCTCTAAGCACCTCATTACCAAGGAAGTATGCCGTTTCTTTCCAGACAGCTCTCCAAGGTCATAAGGGCTAAGAGGGAGCCATTCAGAAAATATGCTTGAGAATGAGTTTCAAGAAAGTCACCCCTAAAGCATGACAGATGCACCAGACGTTACAAGGGCCATAATCTAGGTGAATATCTGCTTAATTTTTTAGATGTGCAGGAAAAAAATGAACCAAAATCTTCACTTCCTTTGGGCCATCAATTGAGAAATTGGACAATTCCTTTTGGTCGAAAGGGACCTAGAAAACCTTCTTCTTGATGCAGTCAGGCTCCCCTTCAGCAGCGTCCTCATCGGACAGGTGTACAGTTTCTACAGAAATATCTCCTACAACAGAGAACTTCCTCTAGGCAAGGCAACCTGTTCATCGGACAGTCAGATGTTTCCAAAATTCTCCTGATGTTTCTTTATATCCTCAGCCTATTGGCCCAAGGACTGCTTTGGATAAAAAAGTAGATCAGTATGAATTTAAATATGGTTACTTTTTAACTATAAATCCAATCATTAAGCAGAGAAATTTGAAAAAGAGGGGAAAAATAAATGGAGAGTCTGAGAATTGGTGAGGAGGAATTGTGATTGTCCCTAAGACAACATACTGTGAAGAGATTCTGGAACCAGTCTATTGGGGAACAGTAAACAAGCTGATGGTGGGCCTGAGCTTTTGGCCGAACGTTCTGGGGAAGACGAGAACTGAGGGCATTTAGGTAAGGAATTCTGGCCTGGAGAGGATAACGAGCTCTGGGATTAGATGGCTGGGAGAGAAGAGCTGCTCCTGAAACCCAGCCAAAAAAAGAACTGGTCTTGACAAGGTGAGGCCCTCAGTTGTCATGGGTCTTAAATTAGCTGGGACCGGGAAGGTGATAGGGAAGCTGGTCATTAAGTTTTATCAAATTTATGTGTGATTAAAATGAGCCCCCTACACTGTAGCTGTCTTTCTATAACTTATAATCTTGGGAATTCTCAGTCTCTCTCTAATGTGGGGATGTCACACAGCACAGGCAAGGGAGGTGTGGCCAGGGATCCAGGCTAAGAAAAGGAGTAAACTGTTTAGCTGGGTCACACCTTCATCCTCATGTATACCTACCTGGAAAAGCTTACGTAAGAAGAATATGCTAAGTTTTGTTTAAAAAAAAAATCAGATTACTAAATCAGGAAAGTACCAGGTTTTTTTTGTGAGAGAAAATACCCAAAACTCTGTGTTTTGTTTGCTACCACTGCAGCTGGCCTCCACAACGTATTGCAAACGTATTCTGAAAGCATCAATAATTACCTTTATTTTGTTACTCAAAACTCAAAAAGAATTCACCATCCCTTCATGGGCTTCTCCTTTAGTTTTGGAAAACAACCAGTCTCCAATGTGGCTAGAATCTGGAAAAGAAAAAAAAAGTTTTAAAAGTTATTGGATGTAACTTTCAAAGCTGAGAAATACATATGTGAGGTCTGTGCTTCAGTTAACCTCTGAAAATATTAGAGTACATCCTCCTTTATCAATATCTTTCATTCCCATACGACCTAGCACAGTGGAATTGGAAATTGACACACAATTTCTATGACTCTCTTTTTTTTCTCTACTTGGTAATTTAAATCATGACTAAAACCACTTGATTGAATCCGCTTTAATCTGACTTAACTTGAAACATTTGCCATCAGCGACTGTAAACAACCAAGTTACCCCCAGTTTCAGCAATGCACAGTTCCCTTTCTTGCCCAATAACCACCTCAGTATTGTGGCAAGTTATGTCAAACAAGCATTGCAAACAGTTCACCCACACAGGCAGAGGAAGCAACAACATCCACAGACCATCCACAGTAGACACTGCAAGTAGGAAGGGAAAAGTGTCAATTATGCTTCCTTTATCTCAATGAGAGGGAGCAAATCTAATTATAACGGATGAACAAATTATTATCTCCCAAGGATGCAATGAAAATTTCCAAGATCTTGAATCAAAATGAAAAGTGCTGCAATTTTTAATAATGTAGGATTAGCTAATTCAGGTTGTGGATGCTTTACTGCTGTGACCACATCTGCTCCTTGAGACCGTCTTCCCTCTGGCCGTGACTGATGGCTTTGTTCTCTGGACCAGACAGTGCAACTTCAGAAGCCAAAGGTCACCGGCCCCCCCAGGTGTCCAAACACTAGGTGTGGTGTGGCAGGGGCAGCACTCAGAACCCTGGTTTTCCGTCTCCTTCCCTGCTTCCTTTGTGATTAACGCCACACCCCCCAGGGTCTCTATTTGCCCTGCTTGGCAGAGCAAAAGACAATGTTCTTTCAGTTTTCCTTGTTCCTCCCACCGCTTCATTCACCAGAGGCTTCGCCTTAGTTTGTGTCTTCCTGTTTACAGCAGCAGCAAAAGGCATTGAAGTACCGAAGTGCACAGAGAACTGTGCGTGCGTGTGAGAAGCTCTTCACAAAACTGTCTACCTACAGGGATGTCTACGGCAACATGGCCCAAAAAACCCCCAAACTCTAAACTACACAGATGATCAGTGGCCCAGTGGTCAGGACATATTTAAGTATATTAAAACAGATTTACCCAATGGGCTATGAGGCAGCCATTAGATCAGATAAATGTGAAAAAAAGAGAAACATTAAGATTATAATATATAGGCAAACACTTAGAACACTATTGGAAAGAGCAGAAGTTAAAATTGTACCCAAGTGCTGATCACAACTTTATCAAAAGTATGATGACATATAGATATAGCTACAGAAATTATAAAATTTTACATATGTAAATATATACATATATCTATAAAGAGAGAGAGAGGGATATATCTATATATCTCCATAGACATATACAGTGCAAATAAACTAAAAGAAGGAGTTGGTCGATGACTATTAAACTCTAGGACTCTATGAAAACAGAGTGATGTAGCTCTGGCCAGACTTAAAATATCCAACACTTCAGAATTACAGAAGCTTGTGACCAAAAGGGACTTGAGTTCAACCTTTTCACTTTACAGCTTAGTAAATTTACACCAAAATAAATTAAGTGACTCATCCATGATCATACAGCTACTCACTGGCAGAACCAAGACCAGCACTGGGATCTCTCCACTCATAAATCTGTCCTCTTTTCTACAGAGCCCATGGCAATGGATTCATGCAAATAAGTCAGAGGGTCCTTGTCATCACTCAGCATCCAAATCCCTGGACAGTTAGGATCTTTCTCAGGGAAGCATGCCTTCAAAACACTAAAATATTTCCTAATAATCAACCATTTTATGACTTGAATTCCCACTCAAAATTCCATCCTTGTTCACCATCAGCAGCTACACCCGATCATGTCTCTTAGTGTCCTGTACTTCCCACAAAATGATGTGTGTCCACTGCAAAGTGAAACTGCAAATCCTGCCCCCAAAACAGAATTTCAGGAGGTTAATCAAAATGACATTAAAGAACTTCCCCAATAACAGGTAAAAACAATGGCAGACGGGGACTAAGCAGTTTGAGGAGGAGACAATCATTAAAGAGAAAAACTGTAAGTTGGTGGCAAGCTAGGGATTTCAATATGGAATGAGTTTAATATTAAAGAATAGAAAAGACCCCAAAGGAAAATGATCAAGACCTGGAATATTTTTGAAAAACTGGCCATCTTTAAGATGTGATGTAAATGTCACATGTGATTTAAAAAGTACCACAATTTACGATCATACAATTTTGTCCAAAGATTTACTCATCTCAAAACCATCAACAGTTGATTTTCCATTGCTCATTCTAAGAGACAGCCATGGTCAAAATGATAATCTAAATTTTGTTGACTATAAACTAAAATAAACTTATTTTCATAATTTTCAGTTTATTTTTTTGCAAGATAAAATCCCAAAGCTTTTTTTCATTACATTATGAAATTTTGGTCCTCATTTAAGTGGATTCACTTCAAATGGCCTTTTTCTGGTTCTAATTATCCTCGAATAACAAGGACCTGCTGTAGAATTTTCAGAAAGAATTTTTTAAAGTATAAATCAGTAATATGGAGGGTATTTATCTATCATTTCAAGCCAAGCATGCATTTTAGAAGCGGAAACTTCAGATCCGAAATATGAACTACTCAGGGACGTCACGTCTCTAGCTGGCCCCTCTATCCTCAAAAATAACACATTTTTATATTTTGTTTTATACAAAATGAAAGCAAAGATTACAAAATTACAAATGACTATTTTGTCCCAATTCTTTTAAAAAGTGTGAGAATATAATAATGCATTTAGCATCCTGAATTACATAATTAAGTTTCCAGTTTTACCATCCTATTTTATTTGAACAAAACCATGGAAAAAGCTCCATGAGGTTCTAATAGTTGCTGATTTGCATACTGTGATTGGTTTTATCACCTGCAATTATCTGTAGTTCTGTATAATTCATGGTCTGAACTTCACCTGAGAACAATCAAGTTGGCTGAGTTTCCCTATGTTCAAAATGTTTATTACATGAAAATAGTTAATATTCAGGGCTCTCTAACATTCACGTAGAAAATGAAAGCTATTCTAGTATGATAAAAACACAAGGCTTCATTTTAGAAGCTTCAATTATTTAATGGAACATTTTCTTCCAGAAGAATAAGAAAAATAAGAGGATATTTTTCCATTAAATAAAATTGCAACATTCTATAGTAGAAAGATATTTTTCCTTTTACTTTCCAAATGGGTAACAATATTAGTGGTCTAAATAATTGATGATGAACACTTAAACTATGTGGGATAATAAATAATTTTTAAAGATTCATTTATTAGGGACTTGTCAGCTTCTATGACCAAGAAAATAAACAATTTATGATTTAGTTTGTTTACTAATTCTGTCTCAAAGGTCAAGACCAAGAATATTGACTCAGTCTTGCTGTCAGACTCATTTATCTCTCAAATCAGTATAAATGTATGGCTCAGGATTAAGATGTGACTAGTAGTTCTCTCCAGGAAGGACAACAAGGCCCCGGTTCCCCACAGCCACCAGATGCAGAGGGACAGCGATGTGGAACACCTGCCAGGCTCTACTGCAGACGCCCGGATTGTTTCACTGCTGCAGTCTAAGGACAAGAAGAAGAGTAAGCTCGAAACCAGCTCCCAAATCTGAGACTCACGCCAAGGGATGAGAAGAGCCCTCTGGCCCTTCCTGGAAGGGACGCAGTGAGCAGCCAGTAGCACAGGGAGCTCAAGGACAGGGAACCCTGCTCCAGCTTGCTCAGGTGAGCGGCCGTCAACCTCCGTGAAGAACCCTGGTGGTTTCAGGGCCATCGAAAGGACGTTTTTGTGCAGGGAAGCTTGAGCAACCCACAGAAAACAAGAAGTCAGGAATTTGGCTCCTTATTTTCAGCCAATTGACTTAGAAGCAGATATTTCTCAACATTAAACCTGCCTTTAAAAGGAAAGGCATTCCTAGACTTACTTTTGACTCTAAGAGATGAGACGATTAAGATGATAAAGCTGAGCAGCCTTCTAGGCATGAGCGAGGCAGAACACCCTACCCCATAAAAGCAGGTGGGCCAGGTGGGCTCAGGGATGCCTCGGACTGAGGCGTTCGGCCACTTCCTAACTCGGGCAGCTTCCTCCCTTCTCCAAACCTCTTTACTCTTCTGTAAAACGGGTAGAGGAACAAACCCACACAATTCTGACAGCTGTAGGTATCAAGCATGCAGCACTGTGCTTGGCATACACAAAACGTTCGGGGGTTAGTTATTACTATTTTTCTTACTAAATTCAGAATAGAATAACTTTCTACCTTCTCTGAACTTTGGGGGAGGCTGCATTAGACGTTTTCTCTAATTAAAGCTGACCCTTTCCGCCCAAAACTATGACCAGGGATTTTTTTATTACTATGAAGATACAGAAACACTAAGACTCCAGAAGGCAGCATTCTGAACTCCTTTTTCCTGCCTCCAGAATAGACACGCCCCTTATGACTGTGTTTAATGATCACTGACAGTGACATAGCGCCAGGCCCCCAAAGTGTTTTCCATGTCTTAACTTATTTAAAACTCATAATCCTATGAGGCAGGAAGGGTCCTTATCTCCATTTGACAGATCAGTAAACTGAGACACAGAACCGTTAGGCAACTTGTCCAGGTGTCACAGCCAAACCAGGATTCAAGCCATGCAGGGCAGCTGCAGAGTCCGCACAGGACCTCTGTTTTGTGTATGTATTTGGGGGGTGCAGAGAAGAAAGGCAGGGAGGGAAGAAGAAGGAAAAAACAAAACAGTCTAGAAGATTCTCTCCCTCAATACACACACACACACACATTCACAGCAAAGAAAATTTCAATTGTAAAGACATCACCGAGTACATTCTCACCGGCTGGTTGTTCTAATAAAAATGTTCAATATCTTAGGAAAAGGGCATTCTTTTCCTAGAGATACTTGGAGAAGCAGGAGGCAAGAGAGGCCTGGACACCAGGCGGGATGGTGTCACAGAGAAGCATAGAAAGATGAGACCTGCAGCGCCGTCCCTGGAGAGGAGCGTGTTGTTGTGGACCCAAGTGCGGTCTAGGACCAGGCTGTTGTGTTTATCACAACTACACAAACACAAGACACCTGTGCATTCCAGACCTTTCTCCCTCCCTAGAAATAGTCCCCAAAGCATTCTTCCTAAATAGGATGACTTCAAATGTGAGAAAAGCCAGAATACCAGTAGCTGCTACTGAAACAAGGATGGGAATATATGTGTCTGGTCTCAAACTTCATCACCAACCCGACTCAAATCTCCCCTCGCCATTAAATATTATCCCCACTGCAGGGCAAGCCTGTGAGATGGAGTGTTGCGCTTCAAGCCACAGAGTGACTGATACATATATATATAATATATATTATCAACGTTACATAATTAAAATTCCCGCTTGTAGATGCTATGACAGGCTAAGCAGCCCAGTGAACTTCCTGGAAGACCACAGCAACCACCTGCCCCCATCCCACACACAGCCCTGGGAATCGCGCTGGGTGACTACTGCACCCCAGGAGGAAGGCACACACCTGCGAGAACAGGGAAGGGAACAACGAAGCTTAACATAGCTCCTGTTGCGCCTACGGTTAATATAGTTATGCTAGCAATCACAAGTGTGTCCCAAAATACAATTTAAGGCTCTCTTCACACAACCAAAGGGCAAAAGGAAAACTAAAGAGGAATTTGGCATTTGTGGGAAAGCTCAAGGTGAGAGATTGACATCCTAACCCACTTGAACTAAGCAACCTTACGGGCAGAATTAGAAGGAAACTGGGTGTTTGGGGAGTAGCTGTGAATTCAGGAAGAAAGACGGCTCCAATGAGAGAGAAGGGCTGGGAATTGCTGTGGAGCCAGGCTGGTCCCTCTTGTGCATACACCGCACTCCTCCTGGCATTTCCGAGGGCAGAAAGTAGGAAACTCAGGTGAGTCAGGATCCCAGGGGCTTAGAGAACAACTTCTGCTGGAGGCTAAGAGGCCCTGGGTTCCACAAAAATGAAGACAGCCTAGGAAAGAAGATGCAGCAAAAATAAAGGCTTCAACAGCCAGAAGCAGCAGCCAAGTTCAATTACACAGAACGTGGGAGCTGCTTATTTAAAATGCGAATTGGTAATTTCAGACGGTGAGTAACCTTGATGTTTTCTGTGAAAAAACCCCGCTGCTTGAATCCTCTCACTCTTTTGAAGGGAAACAAACCCCGTATTTTGTATTTAAAAAGCAGTCTATGTGGCTAGATGCAGACTATGGGAAGCACATTCATACAAATTAAAAATTGCTCCAAGTTTTCCTCAAGCTCCGTTTCAGAATCAAGATTGCTCCAAGTTTTCCTCAAGCTCCGTTTCAGAATCAAGATGGACAGAAAAACGGCCCTAACCAGCGACAAGCTGGTGAAGCTCCGTGCCCGGTGTGGCTGCACCTGTCAGAGCAAACAGGCGCCAGCCCGGCTGTGACAGCACCTCATCGCGTGACGCCGTAACTCTGCATTTTACTGTGCCCAAGAGACCAGTCTGAACAACTGGTCGACAGGCCGGACTCCACCCGGCCCTTTTCTTTGTCTGATAGCTGAACAAAAGAAGGGATTTTAATAATTGAACGACTGCTGTTCAGTTGCTATATTTTTAACAATAGCTCAGGACATGTTGAGGCCAAATGGACGAGGAGAATTTTCTCAGCAAGATTTGCTAAATTTTTTAGTGAGTGGTAGCGGTGACGGAGGGACACTGGATGTGAAGCCAGATGGGGCCAAATCTCCACTCGAGGGAGCAGAAGGCAGCTCAGGTCCAGGCCTGCGTCACCTGAGGGCACCGGCAGGCCCACGTGGAAGCTTCCGGAGAACATGGACTGCGCTATTTCCTCGGGGCATGATGGGCTGGTGAAAACGGTGAGCTCCAAAGAAAACAAACCCAACAAACTGAACAGTGGTTTGAATTGTAAACCCTCCCCTCAGACAAATTTGTAAGGACCTGGAAAGGGGTTTTAAAGGCTCACTGCGCACTCACGGGCCCTGGCTCACCAAGGAAGGACGAAGGAAGGGAGGTCTCCAAACTCAGGGACGAAGCGCTATTTTTCTTCAAAAAGAAAAAAGACAACACAGGAAAGAGTAAAACATAGCCGATGTAAATTAATGCCCCTAAAATAACAGGGGCTCGGAATGCGGGCTTCTTAACAGATATCCTGCCAAGACACATTGTTGACTGTGTCAGACAAAGCTGCTGAGATGAAAAGGAAGCGGTGCCCCTGGCAAGGCTGGGGCTCCAGCTTCATTTATGCATGACGGAAACTCACAGTAAAACGAAGGCCATCACCAGTCACGTCTTTTACTGAGAAAGCCCTTTGATGAGGATTTCCCCGAAAACACTCTCACCTACCACGTGAAAACGGGGACACCCTCTCACCAAGAAGACACACTTGCAAAATCTTTCCACCAACAGGAGCCTGAGAAAGTCACAGGGAGAGTTCTGGGCATCCCCTCAGTGGATCCCCTCCCGCAGCTTCTAGAGCAGGGAAGAAATTCATACTGCCTCCATTATTTATGGGAGGCAATATCTGGCTGCTCCCCCTACACTCACACCCCTATTAGCATGAGTTCGTTCTTCTTGGCTATTCGGGGACTTAAATAAAAACAAGTCTGAAAAGCACTGTACTTTAGCCCATAACCTCAAAGCTCACCTGACAGAGGAGGGAGACAATGCGTCTGAGTAAACACGTGGGTACTGTCACTTCCCTCTTCTCCACCCTCCAGCCCCGCCTCAGCTCAAACACAGGGCGCCCCTCCTTCCTTTCTGGGTGGAAGCTGTGGGAGCCGCCAGCAGCCATCTTTCAGGCCCATCCACTGCAAGAGAAAATGAGGCCAAGGTACACAGAGCACTTGAGCCCCGTCTGCAGCCAGCGTCATCCTTGGATTCCCCTAGTGTGTATGCCTACAAATTCCACGTTTCGCTTAAGCTAGTTTGAGTTGGGGAGGGGAGAGATGTGTAACCCCAATCTTTCCTAAGAAACTTAAGACAGTTGCTTTTTTAAATATGAAAACAATTTTATATCTAATAATGTACCCAGTTACCAATTCCTGTAAAATAGATTCCTCACTTGGACAGGAAATGATTATTCACAAAGACATCCATACAATGGTCACTTCTGTTGTGCAGAAAATTGTTCTAATTTGCTATTTGAAATCTTATAAGTAAATGGTTTAATTCTAAGCCTCCAAATGACCTTTTAATATATTGTGACATTGTAATAAATTTGAAAAATCACATAAAATGCTTTTAAAAAATTTCTATCACATCACACAGGACATGGTGGCAACTTAAAAAGTAATCAACGAAGGTGCTTCCCTGTGAACCGTCCCAGGCTGAAGCCTCATGAAGACTTCTCCACAGGAGACAGCAGGTGCTACTCTGTGATCCCGAGAGACCCAGGGCGGAACCATCCCTCGGAGACCAGCGGAGACGCCGACCTCCCCACTGGATTCTGCTAAGATGAACCACTGGAGCGGCCCATGCGGCAGCCGCCCACCACGGCCCGCTGCCTCTGCGCTGGCTCAGACACTGCTCCCCGGATGCTGTGTGCAGCTGTAGGCGGAATCAGGACGTGAACTCAGACCACATGCTGATGAGGTCTCTCAGATGTGGTAGGAATAATTAATCAAGTTATTCCATTTCATAAACTAGGCCATCCTAACAGGCATCAGTTTAAAATTTACTACGGTGACACTGAAAATAAATCCTCAAACTGACAAAGCTCACAGACCTTTGATCTTTCCTGACTTTCAAATGTACTATCTGTGAACAATCTCCTCACCAGACATGTCACCTCCTCAGGGGCTACCTCTGGGCTGCTCCTGTTCCTGGTTACAAACCTCCAACTTCCAGCTCCCCACTGACACCTTGTTTTCTGCACGTCCGCCTCCTGCGGCAGAACCCAAACCCTAGGAACAGGGACGGCGTCTCACTCATCTCGATTCCTGGCCCAGATTCTAGTGGAACTTGACAGGCTGACTAACAAATAAATATTCATTAAGCAGATAAATCATATTTCCTTTCACTTTCCTATTAAAAAAAAAAAAAACAAACCAAAACCTTGGATATTAGGATCTTAATAAAGATACTGCAAAATTGTGAGAGGGCCCAACACAGGCTTCGGGGTAATGTGAATAATCTAGGCCTTTATTTTTAGTACGGGAAAAAGAGAAAGCTTAGTTTTTGTAAAAAGGAAAAAAAAATTCTAATTTTAAAACAGATCCATGATTCTTTCCCCATTTTCATGGTTTTTCATCAATATTTTAAAATTTCTCTGGGTTCAGTTATTTAAGGTTTTGTTCTAACATTGGATTTGAAGTTAACTTGGGTCAGTTTGGGGTCAAATACCAGACACTGAGCACGTCTGCGCTTCCCCTTCACGGGCTGGCTGTGCTGATAAAGAGCGGGCAGCCCTTCAGCCATCTCTGCCACCTGTTGTCAGAAGCCCCCCTCTTGAAAACCGCATCTTCCACCCCAAATGCATTCCTTTGCTCCACTCATGTGATGTTCATTCATGACAAGTGAAGCAGGGAAAGTGCAAGAGGACAGAACACAGGCCTTCTGTCAGTCAGTTCTCCAAATGCACTCCAGCAGCCACTGGCTCTGGGCTCAGAACAAAGACCCCAGTGTGGGGCCAGTGGGGCGGACACGTGGACCCAGCCAGGCAACTCCTGCTAAGTGAAGAGTCCAGGCATCAGTGGCCTCGAAAGGGTGCAGAGAAACGTCAGTGGGGAATCCCTGGACCCACCTGCAGGTAACAGTGCCCTGAAACATGGATTGTTCTCCTCTCATCTGGAATTCCTCAGTGGCCCCAAGAAACAATCTTGTCAGTGGCAAAGGCAGAGGCCCGCAGGAGGTAACTGTCAGGTGTGCTCCTGAACCCGCATGTTTACTGCTACAGACTGAATCCTCGTGCCCTCCCCACCCCATTCATCTGTTGAAACCTAATCCCCAGGGTATCAGTAATCAGAGGTGGGGCCTTTGGGAGGTGATTAGATGGAGCCCTCATGAATGGGTTTAGTGCCCTTATAAAAGATACCCCACTGATTTACTACAGCTTTGTAATATAGTTTGAAATCAAGCAGTGTGACACTTACATTTTTGTTCTTCTTTTTCAAGATTGCTTTGGTTATTTGGGGTCTTTTGTGATTCCATACAAATTTTAGTATTATTTTTTCTAGTTCTGTGAAAAATGCTGTTGGTATTTTGATAGGGATTGCACTGAATCTGTAGATTGCTTTGGGTAGTATGGACATTTTAATAATATTAATTCTTCCAATTCATAAGCACCATATATCTTTCCCTTCATTTTTGTCTTTTTCAATTTCTCTCATCAGTGTCTTATAGTTTTCAGAGTACAGGTCTTTCACCTTCTTGGTTAAATTTACTCCTAGGTATTTTATTCTTTTTGATGCAATTGTAAATGGGATTGTTTTCCTAATTTCTCTTTCTGATAGCTCATTATTCGTGTATAGAAACACAAGAGATTCTGTATATTAACTTTGTATCCTCCAACTTTACTGAATTTATTAGTTCTAATCATTTTCTGGTGGAGTCTTTAGGGTTTTCTATATAAAGTATTATGTCACCTGCAAACAGTGACAGTTTTACTTCTTCCTCTCTAATTTGGATGCCTTTAATTTCTTTTTCTTGTTTGATTGCTGTGGCTAGGACTTCCAAGATACATGCACCCCTATGTTCACTGCAGCATTATTTACAATAGCCAAAACATGGAAGCAACCCAAGTGTCCATTGACAGATGAATGGATAAAAAAGATATTGTGTGTTCATATACACAGACACACACACAATGGAATATTACTCAGCCATAAAAAAGAATGAAATATTGCCATTTGCACTACATGGATGGACCTAGAAAGTATTATGTTAAGTGAAACAAGGCAGACAGAGAAAGACAAATACTGTAAGATTTCATTTATATGTGGAATCTAAAAAAGAAATCAAATGAACAAACAAAACAGAAACAGACTCATAGATGCAGAGACCTGGGGATTGCCAGAGGGGAGGGAAATGAGAGGCTGGGTGAAGGGGACTGAGAGGTACAAACCTCCAGTTATAAAATAAATAAGTCAGGGGATGTAATATGCAGCATAGGGAATACAGTCAATAACACTGTAATAAATTTGTATGGAGACAGATGGTTACCAGACTTATGGTCATCGTTCCATAATTTATATAAATGTCAAATCACTTGTACACCTGAAACGAACATAATACTGTGTCAACTATACTTCAATTTAGAGAAAAGACCCCAGAGAGCTCCCTCCCACCTTCCACCACGTGAGGACACAGCGAAAAGACAGCCAGCTGTCCTATGAACCGGGAAGTGGGTCGTCACCAGACATTGGACATGCCAGCACCTTGATCTCGGACTTCCTAGGCTCTAGAATGTGAGAAATCAAAGTTTGTTACATAAGCCTCTCTGTCTACGGTTCTGTTACAGGAGCCCGGACAGATGAAGACTAACATCGCAGTTCACTGGCATTTCCTGATTCTGTGGGCTAGGCCCCCAGTCTGCCACCCCAAAATTACAATCAGTCTGCCCACAGCCAAATCTGTGATTTCCCATTAAGTTTTCCAGGCCCACAGGGCTCACACCACTCCCTAGCCATAGCATTTTCTGTGTGTGCATTTACTGAGTAACTGAGCATGCACTAAATTGCGACATAAAATATGTTGTTTGACAAGACTTTTGAAATGTTTCTACCACGTCTCTCTCACTAGCAGGGGTTATATTTTCTCACATTCCTTTTTTTAATCTCCCAAAGCACCTAACACAGATGTAGATATAGACCAGGTTCTCAATTATTTGTTCACCACACTCCATTTAAAGGTTAATTTTTCAGGTTATTGATCATTTCCCTGAATCATTCTCTTCATCCACAACCAAGAAAATCATTTACTGGTGAAATTGAAAAATTAACTATTGTTCACTTTAATTTGAAGGAATATCAAGGGTTATCCTAGAACACAAATTCTTCAAATCAGGAAGCCAGGATAAAAGATACAACTTAATAATATTACTCTGGGGATTTAATCATTCATTCACAAAACACGCTCAGCTTTGGGAGGACAGTGACAAATGCACTGTCTCTGTCCTCAAGGACTTGTAAGCAGAGGGTAGAGGATGTGTGCCCAGCAAGGTGCACTGAAGTTCCACGTGTGCTGTGAATGCACATGCACATGGGCTTCCACGTGCGCTGTGAATGCACATACACATGGGCTTCCACGTGTGCTGTGCATGCACATACACATGGGCTTTGACACACGCAGCTGGTGCTGCTGGCAACACTCTTCATGGGCCCGGCTGCTCCTCCAACTTCAGATATCAGCTTAAGTGGCACCTCCTCTAAGAAGCGCCCCCTGCTCACCCAGTTCAAGTTAGGTTTCTCTCCTTCCCCCACATTCCCCACAGCACACTTTGGAGCATGGAACCCATTTGTAATCCTGGATTTCCTGGCTCGCTGCTCATGTCCGTTTCTCTTTCTAGACTGAAAGCTCCATGAGGGCAGGGCCAGGCCTGTTCTTTGCACCCCTTATACCTAGCACAGCACTTTGCACAGAGAAGGGGGGTGTGTGAACAAATAAACACGTGAGGATACAAATGCCAGGATGGCCAATCCCACCACCACGGTCGAAGGTGGAGGGAGTCAGAAAAGCTGTCCTAAATCCTAGAGGAAGCTCATGAGAGCGAATGGAGCAAATGGTCACCCACAGGAACAGGAGAGTCAGGCAGCCCTGAGGGGTTCATCTTTCTTCCTCCTTTTACTTACATAAAACAGGCACAGCTGCCTCCCTACAGGGTCCTTGTCAGAGCCCCTAACACAGTGCCTGGTAGACAGTGGCCGAGCAATTACTGCCACTTCCTCCTCTCTCTTCCTGAGCCAGGTGATCTGGAGAACAGACATACGCAAAGCATAAAACCCTCCTCCGCATGATCTCCCGGGCCCAGGTCTCTGAGGCGGGTGGGAACAGGATGGGGAAAGGGCCAGTGGAAAGGAGTGAGGGGGATTACAGGAACAGAATGCAAGCTGGAGCTCACAGAGAAGAGGATGGAGCTGGGAGCCATGGTTGTGTCCCACACCCAACCCAGTGCTGGCCACTCGGGCACCTGTTCAGTGTCACTGCTCCCGCCATCATTTCCTCCATTGGCGAGGATAACCCAGAGTGCCTGAGGCCTAACCTCCAAACACCAAAAACATGCACAGATGCTTCTCAGGAGTCCTGGTGGGGAGGGCTACTTTAATGTTTAATATATTTGTTAAAAACCATTAGCCTCACTTATGTACTAGTTTTACATCTAAATTGAGATGCTTACAATGGTCCTTTTAAACCGTATAAATGTGGTACCAACTGTTAAAGTATCATTACCTTTTGAAATGTAAGGAGACTAGGAATGAGAGCTTCACAATTGTTTTTTTGAATACACATAATATAAACCAAGAAGTGCTGGAAGTTCTTTATCCCTGGATATTGGTAATTAAAGGAAAATTGGGGGGGGAGGGGCACTTTCTCTTCAATTTGCCACTTTCCCAAAGAGATGTGCAGTACAGCCAGAACTAATGCAGCCTGCATAAATATTCATGGTCAAAAGGAAAAAGGTATGTGTGGTAGGCCGAATAATGGCCCCCCAAAAGATAGTCATGTCCTAATGCCTGGAACCTGTGAAAGTTACCTAATACAGCACAGACTTGGCAGATATTATAA